CCGAAACTGTATGGGCACCGTGCGCTGCTCTATTGCAGTTTGTTGGAACAGAAAATGGCGATGCACAATGGCCCTCCCTTTTGAGAAGGACCCTGCACCGCCATAAAATGTCTCTCTATCTCTCTCTTCGTCTCTCTCTCTTCTTCTCTGTATCTTTCGGTGATTTTCCCTACGCCAAATAAGTGATAAAAATTTTACTTCCAAACATTGTTTTGATTTTGTTCGATTTCGGGCCAAAAGTTATTGGGAATTTCGAGAATCGCGTTTGCTACTAAAAAAACGCAATCATTTATTTTTATTTTGTTTTCTGTTTTTGTTTTTCTTCTTTTATACCAAAACTGCAAATTTTCGTTTGATTTTCGTTAGTTTTTTGCTTTAGTTGTTTCTTTCTATCGCTTGTGATCAGATGTTTTCTTAAATAAGGATGTTTAATAAACTTATTTTTACTTGAAGTGGAAGTTACGAATAGACTTGATTTGATTCTTGACTTGACTACATACATATGTTTGTGTTTTGGGGGGGATCTTCTGGTTGATATATATACCGATTGGGGGGGGGCTGATTTTGGCACATCTCCTCCTCTCCTGAGAATCGTCCTGCGCGCATTTTGAATGCTGTAAAGCTATGGGCGAAGCCTCGCCTGGCCCTGGCCTTTGAGTAACTTCGATATGGGGTCATGGGTCTTGGGGGAGTCTTGAGGGATCTCAGTTGGGGGGGGGTCTGCTTATGCTTAAACTGTAGTAATATTTTAGTTACGTTTATGTAGTTTTGTATTTAAATGTCGCTATGTACAATTCTGATCAATTTCTGTATCGGTTTTTCTCTCGTATATGCGGTAATCAGTAATCGGTAATTGTTGGTATTTTTGTTTTGTTTTGGTTTGCTTGGTATTTTGCGGTATTAATGCTTTTAAAATCTAGTTAAAATTTGCATATGGCTGCGTCTGCATTTATATTTGGTAATTGGTTTACGTGTAGTAGGTATATACTTATCTCGCCTGCTTCTTTCGATCTCGATATCGATATCGATGTCTCGATAAATCAATATCTCGCTTCCATCTTTTGCTTCTGCTGCTTCGATCGTCATTCTGTCGATCGGTTCGTTTTTTTTCGGTTTACGTGTAGTTTTTCATTTATGCTTTAAGTTTAGTTTGCTTTGCTCGCTTTTGTCGTTCGATCAGTGATTGATCGCTGGTTGATTGATCGGTTTGATGTGCTGGTTGCTTCCGCTTCCTGCTTGGCTCTGTCTGTGTGTGGGTCCTGGTTGATCCTGCTGGCTGGCTGGTTGGCTGGCTGTAAGATTACTCTATGCTTATGCTAACTTATGTCCTGGCCTGTGCCGTGCTTTGACTTTGATGTTGGAGTAAACTGTGCCCGGCTCTTCCACAGGGCAGCAGCAATTGGAAACTAGAATCGAACATTGCTCTTGGCCTATGGCTGGTCTCTGTTTGTTTTCTTTTTTGGAATTTACCAACACCGAAAGATGGCTGTGTGGAAACTAAACACTGTTTTTCGGCTGATCGAAAGGCATGGATATCGAAAGTTTTGGTGGCTTGAAGAAGGCTGCTGCTGCCGCTGCCTGTGGATGTGCCAGGAGTCGCTGTGTCGCTGGATTGGTTTGTTCTCTGCTCAACAGGAAGTGATTAAAATTTAGTTGACTTTTGCTTGTTGCTTACCCTTCTGTAACCTGCGCTCGTCTCCACCGATCTCCACCGATTGTTGGCTGTTGGCTGTGGCTGTAGTGTTGGTTAACGGTTAGTGATGTGTGTTGTGTAGTCAATTCCAATTTTGATCTGATCTGTGACAATTGCCGAAAGCTTCTGACGGAGGTTGGTTGGTTGGTTGAATGGGGGCAAAGATTGAACGTAAAAGTATTGGGGTTTCATAAATAGCCAAAGGGTTTGGGGGTTTTTAATTTTGTTAAAGAAAAATCCAAGCGCCGTCATGTGGTTTTCTGATTTCTCAATGAATTTCGCTTTTATTAACCAATTATCGTCTCGTTTTTTTGACTTGACTTAAGTTTAAGTATGTTTTTGTTAATGTTAATGTTTAGTATAAATGTATGAAATATGTATGTTGCATTATATATACGCAAGTATTCAAATGTGTATTCAAGTGTGCTTCTGTGTCTGAGTGTGTGTTTTGGTACGGTTCATTCATTCGGTTCATGGTAAACCTCCTACGATACGATCCATCGATCCATCCACTTGGTTAAGGAAAGGAAAGAAAGCGGCGGTTGGGGTGGGGGGGTTGTGGTTTTTCTTAAACTGAGACAAACTGAAACTCAACACAATATTAACTCTGAATTTGTTAGCTGAATTTCGACGGCTTAATTTCGCTTTTGAATTTTGCTTAATTATAAAATTTTGCCTAAAGTTTTGTTAGCCAAACGTTTATTGTTAATACGCCTTAAATTGCCTAAAGGGTTTTTGCTTTTCTCATTTCTCAATTAACTATTTTTACAATCAATTCAATTCAATCAATTTCGTATGGAGCGGAGGTGGGAGCTCCCTCCACATTGGTTTTATCCGAAACATAATTGCAGTTAGTTCGATTTTCATTTGTTTGTTAGTTGTTTTGTTTTGTTTTTTGTTTACTTTTTTATCACAAAATCAGTTACAATTGTATTTCGATTTAGATCAAACTTCAACTTCATTGCCAAAAAGAAGTTGCTTCTCCATAAATTTCGTAAAGGCATTAACAATCAACGATCTCCGGACTGGAATTTCGACTTCTACTCGGCTCTGCTCTGCTCTGCTCAAATGGGTATAAATCAGGGAACTCAATCTCGAAACATCTCTCAATGGATATATGGATAATGCTTAATGGCTGGGGGGGTTCAAATCAACTTAAACTGCAGTTCGATTAGCTTTATTTTGTTGTTTTTTTTTTGTACGATTCCCTAAACACTAATTTCGCAAATGCATTTTTTTTTGTTTGTTTTAAATTTTTCAATTTTACACCAAATTGGAAATGTAATCATTATGTTCTCCCTTTTCCGTCAGACTAGGAACCTACCGTCTTATACTCGACTAATTTTGTCATAGTTACGCCAAAGTGCAATCGAATTTCGCTCTGCTCTTCCCGCTCTGGTTATGCCTAAAAACTTGCTTATTCAGTTTCAATTTAGTTTTAGCTAAAATTCATCTATTGTTCAATAATTTCGTATGCTTGGTGTGGGCCGAAAGGTGTGCTGCTGCCTCATAGCGGTGTTCCCATCTAATCTAAACTTGCAACAGGGGGCGATAGGGCATCAGGAGGTTGACTGGCTGCTGACTGCTGGCTGTCCTCGTAGCAAATATGGGGCCGAAAAGGTTACTTTTTCGCTTCTACGTTGTGCGTCTTTTGAGGAATATTCTTTTGGTATTTGCTTAATGTTGAATTAATGTTGAATAACATTCGATGATTCGATGATGTAATTGATGATGTTGCCTGGCTGGTGCCGCTGGTGTTGGTGGCAACAGTAAGGTTTGCTCACTCCTGGCCCCAAGTGACCAAGAGACCAAGAGAGAGCAAACATATCCCTCTTAACCCGCCCACTCTCCATGTTGAGTCTGCTGTGCTGCTGCTGATGGGTGAGAGTGCATGATCGAGGACAGACAGCCAGCCAGCCAGTGGAAGGGGGCCAAACAAGGGGGAGGGGGGTTTAAACAATAAAGAAAAACCATATATTTGTTGTTTAATTTGAATTTTTTGGTGTTTTTTGTGTATATTTTGTTTTTTGTTGCAACTCAAGGCCAAGTAATGTAAAGTAAAATTAATTAAACTAAACTTTAACTTAACTAAATTTATAAATTATGTACATAAATAACAGACTAGTGTGTGTGTGTGTGTGTGTGTGTGTGTATGTGTGTATAGGGTGATCCATAAAAATAAGAAGAGGCGTAAAGTAAAAGAATTGATTAAAAATAAACCGCACTCAAGGGATTGGTGTTAACAATTAACTTTGGTCAAGGGTTCATAAACCATTAAATTATCAAATTATCTACCCTAACGCCCGCTGTCCTGTCCGCATATAAATCTAATCTATAAATCTGCTTTCTTTTTTTTTTTTGGTGATTTTTGTTTTTGTTTAGTTTTCGCTTAATAGACATCGAATATATGCTTAAAGGGTTAAGAATTGGGGGATAGTGGGGGGTGCTACCGGCGTCAGTGCAGCGCCTGCTTTTGTAAAGCAGTGCGCTCATGCAGTGAACGCCGGTACTGAAGGGTTTTAACTGCTTGCCGAAGAACGGTCTGCCAAGCAGTGTAGCCCGCTTCCACAGAGCGCTCTTCGCTCTTCGCTCTTGTACCGATGTGTGTGTGTGTGTGTGTGTGTGTGTGGGTGGAATGCGTGTTTGTTTGTGTTTGTGTGTGTGGAATGTTGTTTGTGTGTCAACTTTCGGTAGATCAATAGATGGCTCAACTATGTATTTTGTTAAATATCTGTATACGTAAAAATGTCTTGTAAATATTTTCAAAAAAATTTCATCTAACAAACCAACACGGCTACAGCGAGTACAGTTTACACTGCCTACAAAGTACGCGATTGCTCGCTCACTCGGTGTGTCTGGTGTCTGGTGTCTCTGTGTGTGTGTGTCTGTATGGGTGTCAGGCTCAGGTTACCATCAATTTGCACTATTTCACATAAGATTAAGATTTTAGGTTTTTTTTAGTTTTGGTTTTAGCATTGGATGCGATCGAAGCTCGCATCTCTCATCCTCTTCTTCACTCTCTCTTCTTCGCTGAGTGGGTACGTATGTATGCTGTGTGTGTGTGTGTGTGTTGGTGTAGGTGTTTTTGGAAATTTTTTGAAAAATATTTTGCGGCTCGGGAGTCTGTCTTGACTGCTCCCCAGAATTGCTCGTGGCCTAAACGCGGTTTTGACTCGTGTAAACTTCTCAGCTTCTCTTAGCTTCTCCTAGCTTTGCTCTTCTCTCTCTCCTCGCTCTCGGTCTCTCTCTCTTTGCTAACTTATTCTGTGGTTCGTTTTCGTTTTGTTTCGTTTCGGGAGTTTGTGGGTCATATCCAGTGGTACTTCTTGCGCAGATTTAGCCTTTTAGCTTTGGTCTGCGCCTCGCCTTCGGATTGCTGCTGCCGGCCCTCGATGTTGTGGCTGTAGATGTTGTAGTAGTCATAGTAGCTGGGATCGTGGTGTGTGGTGTGGCTGTTGTTGGTGGTGGTGGTGGTGGTGGTGGCATTTGAATTGGCATTGCCAGGGGCATTGGCAGCGATATCGTTGGCGTTGGCAGCGCTGGCAAGGCCAACTCCTCCACTTATTCCAGCTGCTCTAAAAAATTGGGCGACTTGAAGTACTCGGGCACGGGATCGTCCATGCGCGAGATGATCTTGTATATGGACTTCTTCCACGACTGTTCGGTGTCTTTGCCACCCTGTATTGCACGGAAAAACTCCCGCAGTGTCTGTTCAACGACGAAGCGAAAGTTTTGGGGTACCTGTCGATGGCCGAAGGACGATTACGATTAGCAACGGAGCTCCCAGACAAAAGTGGTGTTTAGTGGTTTAGTGTGTATTGTGGATTGATTCTGGAGGCAAACACTCTACATCTAAGCGGGGCCAAGGGTAGACTGTTTGCCCGCAGCTTCAATGGCTTTTTTCGGGGGTGTGGGGGGCGACTGGTTCTTCGTTAATGTTAGAGTTAGTGTGGGTGTAGGCGTGGTTATTGGCATACCTCAATGTGATTATTGCGATTGTAGTGCAAATTGAGCACGCGATACAATTCACTATCTCCAGCAATCAACAGATCATCGGGTGTCTTGATGCCTTCGGTGACAGCTTGTCGTGCATATTTCTCCATTTGTATGTAGTAGAATTCTCTGCAGATGCGTAGATGAGGAATATGTTTGGTTTTGGTCAGTATTCTGGTTGGTTGGTTTGGTTTTTTTTTTGTTTCTATTCTATGGTGTGGGTTGGTATGGGGGGTTTATTGGGGTGGGGGGGTTTGTCAGCATTCAAATTTACAAAATCGTACAAAAACTCAAAATCAAATCAAAGATCGAAACAAAGTAACGAACAAAAGAGCGAAAAACACACACAAAACAGAAAAAAGGTAACCAAATTCAAAGGAAATCTCTCTATCTCTCTCACACTCAGTCCTCTATATACCACACTCTCTCTCTCTCTCTCTGTCACTTAAGCTTCTTTCTAAGAGGGGGGTCCTTGTTCTTGCAGGCTTAATGCATTATATTGGATCGCATCGCATCGCTGTTTGAATATGACATTATTAATAATTTGCTGCATACTCTTAGGCGCCCGCCAAAAGGAGGAGTCTCTCTCTCTCTCACTCGCTGTCTGTCGATGTGTGTGTGTGCTTGCGTGTGTATGTGTGTGTGAGTGTGTAAAGAATTTTTAATAAATCTCAAATGTGCAGCAACAGTGGCTGTGGCAGTGGCAGGCGCTGGTTGGGTGGTGCTGCAATAACAATTGCAAGTCGAGGCAGTGGCGTCTTCTTATTGCGGTCGCTGCTGGGGCTGGGGGGCTGTGGCTGGGACTGTGGCTTCTACTTGGGGGTTGGGGATTTAATTAGCAAGTGCAGTGTGCTTCTGGTGCCACTGTTGCCTGCTGCCTGCTGCTTCTGTGTCGCCTTGTTTAGTCAAGTGATTTGTGTGCGGCCGGGGGCCTGCCGCTCGCAGGGGGATAGTCAGGGGCGCAAGGGAGGCCAGGGTGGGTGGTAGCCTTGCTTGGAGACTGTAAGTGATTGCTTGTCTTTGCCTAATGCCTCCCGGCATCCGCCCCGACTCCGCCTCCGCCTCCGCCTCCGACTGCATTGTGTGCCTCGCACTAATTGTTGTCTTTTTTTGTCGTCGGAGAGTCCTGCCCCCGCCCCTTCCGCACTTGACAACGCTCCGATAATCGCGCTAATTTCAAGATTTCCCAGTAGCAAATGCATTTCTCATGTTGTGCGAGTGCGCTCGTGTTGATTTTTCCAAACAATAAGCGCAGAAAATGTGCAAATAGAAAATCTTTGCCGTTTGCTGGCAAGGGTCCCCAGTCTCCAGTCGCTCGTCGCCAGTCGCCAGGCTCCCCGGAGGCGGCAGCCACGCGCACTTGAACAGCAGCGGCGGCGGTGGCAGTGGCAGTGGCAGAAGGGGGGGTTGCTGATTGGGGCTGGGGCTGGGGCTGGGGCTGGCGCTGGAGCTGGAGCTCCTACAATTGAAGCGAGGCATCATAATGAGGCGATGACGGCTTGGCCGGGCCAAAGAAAGGAATCGCTGTGTGACAGTTTTGTGTGACAGTTCATTGTCTCTGGGATCTCTGGATCGGGCATCAAGGAGGGAGATGTGTGTGTCCATAGTTATTAGGGATTGCCCTCATCTCGTTCCGGATCCCCAGTTCTTTGTGTGTGTGTGTGGAGGGGGCGGGTAGGGGGCAGCGTGTGTGTGTGTGGCACAAGTGTTTCGAGGGTTGGGGCTGAAAATTTGTTTGTTTTAAATGCAATTAGCTTTGTGGCTGGTGCGAAAAGAGCTTGAGGCGATGATGCCACACAGCCACACGTGAGGCAGGAAAAGGAAGCTTGCAGCTTAGGCTGCCACATGGAATGCGCCACTTAATTTAGATAATAAGCTGCAACTGAAAATGGCGTCGAGGCTTGACGGAAGTGCCGCTTGCCACCTGCCACCTGCCGCTTGCAACTAATTAGTTTGTAGATTTTTATATATTTTCGTAGCCCATTTATTTGGTGGCAGGTGCAGAGGAATGCACGGGGGGGGGGATCCCTCGCGTTTCGTTTCCCTTTCGAGTGTTGCTCTCGCTCAATGGACGAGTGTATGCGTGTCCGTGTGTGTGTGTGTGTGTGTGTGGCAGGGGGGATATCTCTGTGTGGGTGTGTGTGTGCGTGTGTCTCCTTCTTCGCGTCTCCTTCTTCGCCAGCCTTCTTGCCACTCGGAAGTACAGATATTACAGATACAAATACGAGCACGAGAGCGAATAGAACGAACGAACGAATGTTTTTTTCTTTCATTTTTTATTAATAAGCTCACACATACTCACCCACACATATGCAGACATCTCTACCTCATACATTAATGAAGTAATTGACAACACTTTATATGTATCTATATATAGAGGCATCTGTATAAGTCATATACGTCTAAATACATACAGGAACATGATATATTTCTATGTGTATGTATGTGTATGTGTGCGTGTCATAAGAGTGTACCACTGTATGTGTGTGTTTGTGTGTGTGTGTCTGTCTGTATGTAGCTGTGTGCTTGTTGCAGTTGTTTTTCGTCAGCAAAGATCTTTTCACGCGGCTCCAGGGGCACAGGGCGGGTGGGGTGGTGGGGGGGCAGGACACTTAACCTCATAAAAAACAAAAACACACTGTAGGAAAGAGGCAGGAGATCTGTATGTGTGTGAGTGTGTGTGTGGGGCTGCATCCTTGAGCGCCTTTTTTGCGCCCTCCTGCTCTTGGGGGCTCTTCGAAGCGAGACTCTCAAGTAGCTGTTGAAAAGCGGCCAAAAGAAAGCCCAGTGTTGACTGGGCTAGGCGCATATCCTGGCAAACAAACTAATTAGCCTCCTGCCTGGAGTGTGTCTGTGTGTGTGTGTGTGAATGCATGTCCTTTGGCTGCTTTCTTTTCATTATTTGCATCAAAAGCACACACAAAAAGAAGTTACTGCAGCTAATGCAATTATACAAGTGGCCTGCTTGAGGACCATTCCATGCCATTCCCAACAAAAGGCACTTTTGTTAATTAGCCAACAGCAGCACACACACACACATAGATGGTGGGGGTGCCCACTTAAGTAGGCAACACTTTTTAATATGCATGCCGCAAGTTTCTTAGCCGCCGTTTCACACTTTTCCCAGCCTCTTCAGCCTCAAGTGGCAGCTCATCCGACTCTGGGGTGGGGGGCAGCTTTCTCAAGTGGCAGCCGTCAAGAGCTGAACATGTTATTAGGAGGCCACTTCATGTCTGTGTCTCTGTGTGTGCTTGTGTTTGTGTGTGGGAAACTCATAAAACTATAGATGGCTAAGAGAGGCGTAGAAAACTGTTGCAAGTAATCATTTCCTTGATGGGCGGGGGGGGCGGGGAAATGGAAATCAAATGTGGAAAAGGAAAAGCAAAAACCGTTACAAAATGCTACTACCCCTAAAAGCAAACCGAAGGGTGGGGCGAAAAAGAAGGAAGTAAACAATCAAAAAGCCGCTAGAAAATCAAAAAAATATTCCCACCCATTTTAACCTCCAGAACCGAAAAGTCGACAAGACAAGACGATTCCCAGGCAAAAGAAGTTCGGGGTTCGGATTTCGGGGTTCGTCGTTCAAGGGGTTGCTACCCCAAGAAATCCCATTCCTTGGCTCAAATCCGGGCACACAACAAAAGGTGCAAGAAATTCCGACAGACGAACGTGCCACGGCTATGATTTGTTGTCTTCGCTGTGCGCAGGTAGGGAAAAACCCCAGAAAAGGTTAAGGGAGGACGCAGACACAATTCCTTAAGACGTTGCGCATGTCTTAGACATAAAGGAGACGCGGGCAGGCAGGCAGGCACGCTGGACGGACAGCTGCTAAGCTGCCGCTGCCCGAAAGAGGGGTGAAAAATGAAATCCAGGTGAACCTTTGCCACACGCTCTCTCTCTCTCTGTCTCTCTCTATGCTTGAGGGACAGATGTGGCAGGGATTTGGCGCGCAAATCACGGCTACTGCGGGCCTGCCTCACTTCTAGAACTCTAGAACTCTAGAACTGAATGAGCAGCAGCTGTCGTTGTTCCCCTGCTGCTCTGCTCCTTGCGCAATTTCATAGACGAATGACAGGCCCCCCCATGACAGCTGGGAGGGGGCGGGGGCTGGGGGCCTGAGCCTTCGACAGGTGATTCGTTTTAAATCAAGAGACAAACGAAATCATAAAAATGAATGCTGTTCATAGATATTTCGGGTGTGTTAGTGGGGGGCACATAATATAGTAGTAGTTATAGCAAATATGATTAAATGGTGGCCATGGGGGGCAGGGTGGTTGGGGGCATGGGGGGCCGTTTACTTACCGGAAATTCGAGAACCATTTCACCAATTGTGCTGTGTTGTTCTTGTTGAACTTGATGTCCGGGAAGTACATCTTGAGGACCGCGGAGCTCGGATAGCGGACCCAGAAGAACATCAGTTTGGCCTTGCGCAGGTGCATCGGTGTCAATGTAGAAGAGTGCAGGGGAGTCAAGGATTCGCAATGCTTGCTGCTAGATTTGGTGTTGGAGACAGAGATGTGTTCGGTTGAGGGTGTGTGTTACGATGGTCGATTGTCTTTCCAAATTTCCATGTTCGTGTGTGGCAGAGAACGATAGAAAGAGCCACTGCGTGGCAAGAGGGGGGCTATGCGGGGGAGGATTGCACTTTCGAGTGCCAATAATGAACGTCTAAGGGTGCCAGAGGAAGGCCCGTGCCCCTGCTTCGACTTGAAAACTGATTGAAAACACACAGCCAAGCCAAGAGCCCGGCCAGAGGGGCCACAAGAGCCAAAAGAGGGTAACGATTGGCCTGGGCTTGGGCCTGGGCTTGGGCCTGGGCCTGGGCCTGGGCCTGGGCCTGGCTGTTCATCATTGATTTTTCCGTTTCGTTTTTTCCGATTTCTCCTACTGCTGCTGCTGCTGTTGCGAAATGCAACTCAAGCCCTAGACCCCACTCCCCAGTGCTCAGAAGAGGTCTACGACGACGACTACTGCTGCTGCTACGATGATGATGTTTATGTGGATGTGGACGACTTGAGGGTCTCTCTTTCTCTCACGTTCTCCCCAGAGAAGGGTTGCAGCAGGTTGCAATAAATAAGGTTTTGATTACATTTTATAAAAGAATTTAGTTGGGGAAATAAATAAACTGAAGAAGACACTTGATTGGTTTCATTTTGTCCGTCGGACGGGTTAAGCACCTCCCTCTCTTTTCCTCTCTCTCTCTCTCTCTCTCTCTCTCTGTCTTTCTATGCCACACACCACGATATAGAACTATGTGGAAAACTCACTTGACCATCAGCATGGACTGGAGGGAATGCTGCTCGAGCTGCTCTTGTTGCTGTTTGAAAAAGGATATAGTAGGCTGCATGCCGTCGAAGGACATGTCCGCCGAGTTGCACTCGGACTGGCGATCCTGGGCGTCCATGACGGCCCGCAGGCAGGTCTTGTAGTCGGGCGATCCGCCGTGGTGGGCGGCGGCTAGGAGGGCGGGATGCAGCATCGACGGCGGATGGGGCAGCGGCGGGGAGTCGCGCGAGTCCATCAGCGCCCCCAGGCTGCCGGGCGGACTCGAGGAGAGCTGCATCTGGTGCTGGTGCTGGTGGTGGTGCTGGTGCATCTGGGCGGCTGTCGGCTGCCCGCCCGCGTGCGGATTGAAGAAGGGACTGTAGGGCGAGAAGACCTTGGACTCGTGCAGCGAGGGATTGGGAATGGCCACCGATGTGGGCAAGGACACTGGCATCATGGGCGGCGGTGGTGGCGGCGGCTGCGGATGGTACGCTCCTGCTCCACCTCCTCCGCCTCCTCCTCCCACGCTCTGACTCCTGCCCGTGGGGCTCTGGGCGGGCGTGGCATTGCTGTTGCCTCCTCCGTTCGACTGCTGTTGCTGCTGCTGCTGTTGCTGTTGCAGGGGAGTGGCGTTCTGTTGTCCGTTGGGGTTGGGCGGGACGACGCCGTCTTGGGCCAGGATGCGGCTGACGGTGCGCGGGGTGATGCGCGTGTCGGTCACCTTGTGGCGCTTCTTCTTGGGCGTCACCACCAGACTCAGGGCCTCGTTCTGCTCGAGCTGCTGCTGCGTCTGCTGGGCGCTCTGCTGCTGCTGCTGTTGGACGCTCTGCTGTTGCTGTTGCGCCTGCTGGGCGGCCTGCTGCTGCTGTTGCTGCTGCTGATCGGGTGGCAGGCAGAAGGGTCCGGTCATCGAGTTGTAGAGCGCGGCGGCGGCCACCGGATTCATGCCCTGCGGCGTCTTGGGCGCCTGGAACATGGCAGCCGCTGTGGGCAAAGGACGAATGTGAGGAGGTGGTATATTAAGGGTACTTAAGCTACTGTTGTTAGTCGGATTCGCTTGGCTCTGGTTAGTATTGCTATCCCCCGCCTGCTGCTGCTGTTGCACGTTCTGTTGCTGTTGCTGTTGCTGCTGCTGCTGTTGCTGTTGGGCGGACATGGCTGCCGCTGCGGCCGCGTGGTGCATCTGCAGACCCATCGCCGCGGCTGCAGCAGCCGCTGGGGAGGCGAACGACAGCTGGTTGCCATTGAGGCGGGGGGCGGCTATCAGCTGCTGGCAATTGGGGGGCATGGCATGGAGATGCTGCACATTCGGCGGCTGCTGTTGCTGCTGGGGATTCTGTTGCGGTGCCTGCTGCTGCTGCTGCTGTGGCACATTCTGCTGCTGCTGCTGCACGTTCTGCTGCTGCTGCTGCTGTTGCTGCTGCTGCTGCTGCTGGGCATTGGCCACGACCACCGCTGGCGGCGGTTGGGGGGGCATTTGACTAGGGGCTAGGAGTAGTGAACCATTATTACCTGATTGTGTGGTCGGCGTGGGGCCGTTCTGGGCTCCGGGTCCTCCTCTGTCCGCCACTTTGGTGCGCGGCGACTTGCGGTCGAGTATCTGCGATGCCAGCAGCAGGTCCTTGTTGAGCTGCTCGGCGGCGGCTGTCACCGAGTCCGCCTGCTTGCTGAACAGCCTCCGCTGGTGGACGAACCGCGTCACGATCGTGTCCACCAGTGCCGACAGCGAGGTGGTTATCTCCGACTTCAGGACGTCCGCCAGCCCCTCGAGGTCCGTGCCGGACATGCGCATCATCGAGCTGTTGTTGCTGTTGCGCAGCATCTGGAATTTCTCCGACAGCTCCGACTTGAGGGCGCTGTGGGCGGCGGCTGCTCCGCCCAGTCGCGTGGGCAGTCTCGCCGGCGCCGGGTGGTGCATCTGTGGGGGTCTCGGCGCCGTGGCCACATGTTGCTGCTGCTGCTGCTGCTGTTCCATTTGCTGTTGCTGCAGCTGCTGCAGATGCTGCTGCTGGCGCTGGATTTGCTGCTGTTGCTCTTGCACCTCCTTGCGGCGTTGCTCCTGCTGCTCCTGCTCGAAGCGTCGCTGCTGCTCCTGCTGCTGTTGCTGGTGCTGCTGTTGCTGCTGTTGCTGCTGCTGCTGCTCGGCCGCCTCCTTGGCCATGCGTGCCTCCTGCTCGAAGAAGAACTGCTGGTACATGGCCGCCGCATGCGACATGTCGCCCATGTGCTGCAGCAGCGGGGGGAAGCCCTGCGGCAGGGCCGGATGCCCCACCAGGGGGTTGTGCAGCTTGCTGGACATCATCTTGGACATCATCTGGGAGAGCATGTTGGTGCTGTTGGGGGCCCCGGTCTCGCTCAGCGCCGTCTTGGGCTTCGGGGAGCTGGAGCCCGGCCGCTCCTGGCCGCCGGCCTCCTCCTTGTGGGCGGGACTGATGTCGCCGCCCGTGAGCGTGGGGGAGGGCGACAGCTCAATGTTGTCGCTGCTGCCGTTGTCCTGCTCTGGCTCCTGCTCCTGCTCCTGTTCGGGGTCCAGGTCCTGCTCGGGATCGGGGTCCTGGTCGTTGTCCAGCTCCTGGCACTCGGACTCCTGCTCCATGCGGGTGCACAGCTGCACGTACTTCTGCTGCATCTCGGCCAGCTGCTCCTGCATCGAGCGCAGCTGCGACTTGAGGGCGTTCTTCTCGACGCGCTTCTGCTGGATCTGCGGCGACTCCAGCTCGTTCGACTGCTCGCTGTCGTCCTGGTCGAGCATCATGCTCTGCAGATTGAGGCCGAAGTTGAGGCCTGCGGCGGCTGCCACATAGCGCTCCATGGCGTGCTGCTGCGGCTGGTAGAGCTTCCGCTTCTTGCAGCCGTTCACCTGCAGCTGGCCCGCCTGGACGATCGAGGAGGGGCTGCACCGCATGCCCGACACAATGTTCTCCACGCGCGCCCGCTTCAGCTCCATGCCGGGCTTCTTGAGGCAGCCCTGGTCGCGCTTCTGCTCCACACAGTCGTCGTCCTCGTCGTCGTCCAGCACATCGTCCTTGCTGTTGTCCAGCAGCATCATGTCCGAGTGCGAGGGCGAGGCCAGCGACTCCAGGTCCGAGCCGCGTGTCGAGTGCATGCCCAGCAGCTCCGCCTCGTCGAGCATGTCCTCGACGGACTCCTTCTTGGTGGCCAGCTGCTGCTGCTGCTGCTGCTCGTCTACGGCGCTGCTCGCCCTGACCGCCGTCTCATCGTCGCCATCGCCGTCCGCCTCCTCGCGGGCCCCCGAACTGTCCATCGAGTCCGAGGACTTGCGGCGCAGGCTCCCGTCGCTGGCCAGGCTGTGGCTGCTGCTGTGGCTGCCACTGCCGCTGCCGCTGCGACTGCTGTGGCTGCTGCCGTGCGGCGACTGCTGCGGCTGGGGCACTGTCTGGGGCTCGCTCTTGATCTTGATGTCCGCCATCTCCGTGTCCTCGATCAGGTTGATGCTCTCCATGTTGTTGTTGTTGTTCGTGGCTGCCACGCTGTTGTTGTTGTTGTTGTGGTTATTGTTGTTGCTGGCGTTGGTGTTGTTGTTGAGCTTCGAGTGGAGCTGCTGCTGCTGCTGCTCCTTCTCCTGCTGCTGCATCTGCTGCTGCTGCATGGCGGTGCGCAGCTCCTGGTCGAGCTGCATGAGCTCCTTCTTGCCCTGCAGAATGTTGCGCAGCATGTGATGGGCCACCAGGTCGTGCTGCAGCTGCTGATCGCCGCTGCTGGCGCCGCCGTTGAGCGAACTCACCGAGGCGGCCCGTGGCGGGGATCCCCCTGCCACATCGGCGGCAGAGGCTGCCGCGGAGGCCGCCCCATCCAGGGAGCGATCGCTGCAGGCCGACACCCGACGACTGCTGCCGCCCTTCGGCGAGGAGGTGGCATGGTGCGAGTGACTCGAACTGTGGGCCGATCCCGGCGAGATCGAGGCATTCAGGCCGTTGCTCAGCGGCGTGCTGTTGCTCCCCGGCAGGCTGTTGTTGTTGTGCAGCAGCAGCTTTGACGTGGCATTGGAGGTGGCATTCAGGTGGCTGCCGACCAGGCCAGCGGCGCTCAGGAGCTCTGCACTGGTGGCCGTCTCCATGGCGGCCGCCAGCATCGCGTTGTCCAGGCTCTGGGGCAGGCCGCTGGTGGCGTCCTGGGCCTGTTTCATCTGTCGTCCGAAGAGCTCGTTCAGCATCTTGGCCGATGAGCCACCGAACAGGTTGCCGAAGGCAGCCGTCAGCAGTGACGAGGCGGAGCCGGAGCCCGAGCCCGACACGGATCCGGAACCGGGCGAATTGCTGCTGGCTACCGGCGACTGTTGGCCCCCGCCGACTGCGGCGGTCTGGTGGCTCGAGGGATTGAGACTGAGCGTGGGGCTCGTGTTGGCCGTGCTGGCCTGTGGTTGGGGTTGGAACAGGGCTCCACCAGCGGCACCCGCAGCGGCCGCAGCAGCGCTACTCATGAAGCCAGCAGCGGTTGCCGTTGTGCCGCCGTTGTTGCAACCGTTGTTGCCGTTGCTGTTGCTGTTATGATTGTTGCTATTGCAAATGCTGCTTGTGGTCTGTTGTTGGTTTTGGCTTTGGTTTAGGTTTTGGTTGTCTTTGCTCAAGGATCTATGGCGCGAACGACGATTCACTTTGTTAGCACTAGCACTACTACCGGATACGGGCACGGGTATGGGTAAGGGCACGACGGTCGCGCTTGAATTCGAACTCTTCGAAGTGGCTGTCGCTGTCGCTGTTGCTGTCGCTGGCACAAGTATTTTTTTAGCCGCGCACGTTGTTGTCTTGCCGACGGCCGAAGAATGAATGATTTGCCGACTGGTGCGCGGGCTGCGATGGTTCCGACTGCTCCGACTATTGCTGTTCGCCTTCGCGGCGCTGGCTTTTCCGCTGCTGCTGTTGCTATTGCTGCTGCTGCCTTCGCAGCCTTCGAGCACGACCACGACGTCGTCCGAGTCGTCCGAGTCGCAGTCGTTCGGCTCTTTCTCTTTCTGTTGCTGTTCCTTCTGCTGTTCGCCGTGCTTGCTCTCGCCGGAATTCGCCGTGCTGCCGCCGTCGCCGTTTATCTGTGCCTGTAGCTGTGCCTGTATTGGTGTCGTGTGCCCGTTGCTGCTTGAGTGTGGTGGTTGCGCCTCCACGACCGCCTTCAGCAGCACGGTGCTCTCATCGCTGTACAAACCAAAACAGTCCGCGTCGTACTCCTCTGATGACATCATAAGATGATGCCAAACAGCAGCAGCAGCTCTCTCTCTTGCCACTCAGCTCTCTGTCGCTCTGCTCTCTGTTCTCTCACTCTCTCTCTCTCTCGCTCTGTCTCTCTCGCGCGGCGACGCTCCCCTCAGCAACCCTCTTCTGCGATTGGCTGGCTGGGCTGGCTGTTCCCCTCCGAGCGAGTGTCGTATGCGTGATTTCAAGTTTAAGTCTGTGGACAGATCTATCTATCTATCTATCTATCTGTCGTCTCTCTTTGTATCTGTGTATCTGTGTCTAGTCCGAGTGGGGTTCACTTTCTGGTATATGTATCTCCGTATCTCTGTATCTCCGTATCTTCGCTGTGTGCGTTGTGCTTAGCTTCAGGTTCAAAACTTTATCCTGCTCGCGGCAGTCCTGGCCCGAGGTGTCTTCAGATTCCTTTCCCTTCTCCTCTGCTCTGCTCTCCTCTCTGCTCTCTCCTCTCCCTTCGGTTGTGCGCCAAACGTTGAAATTTTGCTTTCGCTCAACTTTTTTCTTGGCCGAAATGCTCCAGCTCTCTCTCTCTCTCACTCTCCAGCTCCAGCTCAAAGTGCCGCCTCCTGTTGACGGTTGCGACAGCTTCGACGGTTCTTTGGACAGTTTGATTTTGCGTCTGCGTTTTCTACGTTTCTTTCTGCGTTTTCTAATTGTGAATTTTGTTTTGAATTTTCTTCGTTCCACCACCACACACATGCGAATGTCCTTTGCATTTAATTTTATTTGGATTTGATTTTAAATTCCCGTTTTGCTTCCTTCCTTTCTTCCTTCCTTTGCCCTCCGTTCGTCCTGGTCTTCTCTTTCTCTCTACTTTCTCCTTGCTCCGATTCTCCCTTCCTGGTGTTTTAAAAGATTCTCAAAAAGTGTTTTCGATTCGTTTTTGGGTTGTCGAAAAATTTGAGACTTTTTTTTTGTGTCGTTTTCTTTTCGATTTTTGTCGTTTTTTCGTGGTTTTTATTTTTGGTTTTTGGTTTTTTGTTTGGTTTTCGTTTAATAATCCTTGCTTGGGCTCAAAAATCTTTCTGCAAAAATTCAAATAGGATTCAGTCAGATATTGTATAAAGAGGGGGTAGTGGGGGGCAGTGGGGGCAGTGGTGGCAGGGGGGGGGGGAGGGTGTTCTTAAAGGGAAAGTAAAAGTGGCGGCAGGCCAAAAGCTTTTGGTTTGGGTGCACCACTTGATTGGTGCTCGGTTTTCGGGTGGGGGGGAGGCTGCCTGAACGGTGGGTGGGTTGGAGAGGGTGAAGAAGAAGGGTGTCCTTAATTCAGCAGAAGCTGTAGCTGTAGCTGAAACCTTCCACCCTCTAACCCCCAGACAGGTTTTTATCTAATTTCTCCTTCTCGCCCTCACCCTCTCCCTCTCTCTCTTTCTGCTTTTTGTGGGTGGTTGGAGGTACCCGCCCCCTTTGCTGTGCCCAAAAAGCCAGCAAAACAGCAACAAATAAAGATAAGTCATTTCGTGTTCGACGATAAACAAGTTTGACTTACTTTCCCGGGCACTCAGATACACACAAGCGGACAGAGGGACAGCCGGACAGACAGACGGACGGAAAGATAGATAGATACTTTGCATATGGCCATGGGTTGAACGGCTCGTATGGCTCGAATGCGTAAGCACTCGAAATAATCAATAAGAGAACTTTGGAACCAGCAAAATGCGTCAATCTCCAGTAGGGAACGGACTATCGATCATGCTCGGAATCGGAAGAGTAGGTATGTGTGTCCCTTGGGCCTTTTCCAAGAATTGCTGCACAGAATCCTCCCCTTTGGACGGTGCTGTGGCTCGACTTTCGGGACTTGAATTGCATTGGAATGCAGCAACCCGCCCGTAGGCCCAAGTCAATGTCAACAGAAGGGCCTCTCCACTCTCCACTCTCTCTTGCCACCCCTATTCGCCAAGGGCCCTGCCTTGCCTTGCCTTTGGGCAACTGTACTTTCTCAGCCGCCTGCAGCTTGCCAGGACCTTCAGAGGGTAGAGGCAGCCACCCCTATTCAGGATATACAGGACTTATCAAGTTGGGAGGTAGCATTCCACTGCATTTCGGATAGAGATCTTTAAATTGTCCAAAAATTTACCACAAACAAAGCGTTATTTTTCTCTGTCGTCCATCATAGATCCTCCTGCAAGAGAAGAACAGATTTTCAAGTTAGTTTCAGATTAAATGAAGGTTATAAAAGGTATCTAGCATGGCATATGCCACAGACAGACAGTTGGCATTCGATGAATACTCTTCGAAGATACTTTCCACCATGTATGCTTTCCTTAGTACATCCCTAGAGACGCACAAGTTCAATGCACTTAAGGGCGCTCTAAGGTCCGCTCTGGCCTAGGTTCTATCGCGGGTCTATCAATTGGAGTAGCAACCCCTCGGTGAGGGCAGCATATGGCAAGGAAAACGGTGATAAAGGAGCCAAAGAAAGTTGCAGCTGAGGCGGTGTGCCACCTACAAGTCGTGGCAGCCGCGGCGCAGATAATTACGACCTTAACACAAATTTTGCTGCTGGCTTGGGCTCGTACTTTGCATGCGAAAGGGGGATGAGGCATGTGGCAGGGGCAGGGACTCAAAGTGTGCTTTGGAATGTGCCTTCACAGATCGCGGCACACGGTAATGTACTCGTCGTTGAACGAAGTGTGGCACGGCCATGTGTTCCCCCCTCCTCCTCCTCCTCCTCCTCCGCTGTCTATCTCTGTGTGTGTATCTCTGTCGCAGACGGGTGTCATCATTAAAATATGCTTTCGGGCTGGCGACACTTGGACCTGGACACGAAAGTGGGCTTCAGGAGGGGGAGGAGGCGGAGTAGTGGCATTGCGTTACGGTCAAGTGACTCTAAAATCCGTTAAAACACAAAAAACCAACCTATTTCTAGCCCCCTCCCCGGCCCAATCGCTGAACCAATTAGGCTTTATGATTCCGCTCTCTGGAGATCCATTTGGGGAGATAATTCCAGAAGCCAAAGGCAGAGATTCAATGGAAAATGGGAAAACCGAATGCGAAAACGGAACTAAAACTGAAACCCAATCTGCAACCCCCAGGCGAGACGAGCAGAGGCCCCTATATCGGGCAGAACAGCTGATAATCGAGAGACGGAGGGCAGCACCCGGGGGGAAGAACGTGCCACAAGCACACCTGGACTCTTGTCTATGCCTCAATGCGCGTGCGCACAAGCTGCCGGATCGCTGGGAGGGGGGGACGTGGCGGCACAAGGAAGCGAGACAGCGAGGGGCACCCAGGCAGACGGAACCAAAGGGCACTGGTGGCTGACATCGTCCAACATTCTCGTTTCTCGAAGCGATTTTTACCTGATCTCGATTCGGATTCCTATGTTTCCATTTCCTATGATTCTATTTACCCAACGGCTGGTGCCTCTGCTGGCATAAAGTTTCCACAAAACACCTTTCAACTTGTTTTTGGCACACTGCAGTCCCCGTTGCAGTGGCAGGAGCAGCAGTTCTCATAATCCTGCCACAATTATGTTGCCGCAAAGTTTGCTTGGCAGTCGTTTCCACGAGAATTGGCAGCACACAACTTTGTGAGCAACTGAAGCGAGAGAGAATTGTGCTAAAAGAAAATGTCCTTCTCGTTGTGTCTCAGGACCTCAGGACGGGTAGAGACTGGGGATTTTATGCGAAAACTTTTGCCAGGCACTTGCCAAAAGGCATGCCCCATGCCCCAAGGCCCAATGCAGTAAACTCGAATTATTATGATTCTATTCCAGCCTCCGTTATGGCCCCTGTGGCCCCTTTTGGCTAAGCCCTCGACTGCCAGATAAGATACAGTTCCAGATACACGGAAACACACTCTCCGCCAGAGAGATATCGGCCGCCATATGGCGGGCCATAGATACCACATTCGACGGGGCCTGCACTTAGCCGCCCCACGTTCAAAGTGTAGGTGTCGTGGGGCATATCCGATCGGTGGGCTCTGTAGTCCTTCGCTGGCTCTAGGGTAAGCCCTTGGTCTAACCCTTTGCTTGGCTCTGGGGCGGTTCCTTTTTTTTCCCAGACATACTATAAGCACATTTTGTGGTCGCTGTTTGTCGTGGCTGCGTTGTTGGCTTTTATTGTCTTTCAGCGCTTGATTAGATAGCACACAGACACAGTCACAGATACGGATACAGGGACAGAGACAGGGACAGGCACAGGCATAGAGCACGCAATGGCAGCCAGAAAATGGCCATATGTGGCCAAGTTCTTTTCCCCAGTCGCCCCCACCGCCGCGGACTTTTGTTTGGACAACGGACTTTGCAGCAGTTTCCTTGCCACATGCAGCGGTCGAGGCGAGTCGACGAGTGAGGCTTTTGTCGGGCACCTGTGTCCCCACCTTCGTGTCTCCAGTGCTTATCGCGCTTTTAATATCACGGGTAAGAGGGGGTGGGTGGGGGCCTGGGGGGGCGAACAGAATGCATGCCTAACGTGTGTCCTCGTCTCCTGGTCTGTTCCGTTTCGTTCCTATCTATGCAGATATCTTTCTCCTCCTCGTCTATCTATATCCCCGTGTATCTGTGTATCTGTTTCTGCGCGTGTGTGTGTTTCTGTGGGTGCATTAAAAACATTTTCATTGTAATCAAGCGTACTTTCTTTTATTATTATTATTTTGCCTCTCTGTCCTGCCACTAACGACACAAATTACTCAAATGTATCTGGCAGATACTTTTTTGTTTCGTGTATACCCGTCTCTGTCTTTCGCCTCCTCCTCGTAGTCGTCGTCGTCGTCGCTCATATATTATTTATTGATCGCGATAAGCGTCACGAAGCCAATTTCAAGCGTTAGCCAAATGATACTTCCTCCCGCCCCCCTCCAGCACCCTACCTCGCTCCACCCCCCTGTCTACCCTCCGTACTTAATCGTAAGTGCTTTTTGCATTCGCTTCCAGCTAATTTTCGAGTACAGTCCCGCGCTTTGCCAGCTAACATTCTGCCCGGGTCCGTCTCAGTGATTTCCCTCTGCCGTACATCCGTTTTGGTGCGTGGCAGCCTGCCCCCTACCCCCTGCCCCCCTGCCCCTTAACGTTGCAATCAAAGGTAGACTTCATGGCCATGCAGCTGGCAGATGTCGTCGTCGTTCCTTAATAAGTCACCCCATGGGTCCCTCCCTCAGCAAACACAAGGCACTACTGGCGGTGGTGGTGGTGGTGCAAGCGTCTTCAAGACGCTCTGGGAAACCCAACTGTCGTCGATCGTTTGGCCGTTACGACGTCAGGGGCCTGGCGTGTGCTGTATGGCCCATAGACCGTAAAACGGAGGCACTGCACTGGAACCACCCCATCCCCATTGCCCACTTCCAGGGCCTTCTGTTCTTCTGTTCTTCTGTTCTTTTCTGGCTTTTGTAACGTATTTCTTACTCAACTTCGCCTCTAGTGGGGGTAGTGGGGGAGTCACGCAATGCTTCACGCCTCCTCCACAAGTCGCCTCTGAATAATTCAATTTCCCGTGTCTCCTGTGTGTCCTGTGTGTCCTGTGTGTCCTGTCCGTAATGTGTCCATTTAGACGGGGTCATTAGGAGCGGGGCATAAACACTTCCTTCCCACTGAGTCCAGCGGTAAGTTCCTTAACAAAACGCCTCCTCCTCCACCTCCTCCTCCCCCTGTGGTGGGTGGTGCTGGTGGGTGACTTATTTTTATGACAAATGCGAGATATGTTAATGCGATAGGCTTGCTCGGTGGTTATTAAGGAAATTACCCACACATGGCGCCAGTCCTTGGAGTCCTTGAAGGTACGTACAAATATTTGAAGTTTCAATTTCATGCGGCAAGAGGCATTAATAGAATATACGTAGTCGCCGCAGAGAAATGACTTCATGTCATGCCTTGAGATAATTAGAGGTTGTCCACCTCCCCCCCCTCAACCCACTCTCTGCCATATATCCCAATTTGCTTGGCTTATCGCTGAGGACAAATCTGGCCGCACATCCCTCTGTGGCATGTCGGGGAACCTTGGAGCTGCGCTGAGTCACCGTCGATTGCGGAGGGGCCTCGGTGGCGGACTAAATTTATTTAAATTCATCTGCGTATCAACAAATTGATTTTATTTAATTCAATTGAACTCAGGCAAAGAGTCGGACAGAGTCAAATGAAAGGCATCCACAGAGGAGCGAGGCACTGGCTACGGCTTCGACTACGGCTTCGGCTTCTCTGGGTTCCAAATTGACTTGAATAATGAAATTTGCTGCTAATAAAAGCAGACTGTGATTCAAAAGGGGAGGCTCCTCCCATCGTATGGGTTTCGGACTCCGGGGGGACTTCGGGGGGGGGAGTCAAAAAGTCGCAATAAAATCTTGTAAAAGCATAAAATTCAATTTCATTTGTTCTCGGCATCCTTCCACTCTGGCATTGTGTGTGTTTTTGCTTTAAAGGGCAACGATTTTCTTGATCAAACAATGGGAATGTTGTCTGGACACTTCTTAGGAGGGAGAGCGAGAGAGATGGGGGGGGGGGAAACAATTGTTGATTTATGCATCGGAGATGAAATTCTTGGAAAACTTTTGAACCCTTTGCTGGCACTTGTCATAATTGCAATGAAAAACTACCTTTCGATGGGTAGGGCAGGAGCCCGGCTCCTCCACAAGTGACAGTTTCAATTAAAAATACGTTTAGGCACAGGGCCTGGGCTTGGGCCTGGGCTTGGGCCTGGGCTCTGGGCCTGGACTCGGGGCTTAATCGCAGTCCCTTTCGCTTAAGGAGTGGCCCGCCCCAAGGGGCAAACAAAACTCAAGTAGTCGAAAGAGTGCAGAGTCCGGGGATTCATTATGATAATTTAGTTGCTGGGAGAAGCTGCAGCAGCGGCTACCGGCTTGACATTTGAAGAACCCTCTCAAGTGGAGGCAGGCAAGGCCGTGAAAGGAAAGCGTCCCTTCGACAGATAGGACGACACATTAATGGAATTAAATTTGTGGAAAATGGTTTTGCGAGTCGGGATTGAGAAGCAGAGGCAGTGCCGCGACTCCTATAGAAAGTTGAGTGGGCGATGGCCCACCACGTGCTGGGCGGGGGGCGGGGGGCGGGGGGAGGGTGGCAAGGCATGAATCAACCTTAACAACCACTTGCTGCCCCTCTCCCTGATTCCCACTGTGACAGCTCGTCGTCAGCTGGCATCATAACTCAGTTCGAGTCGCAGTCGAGTC